GGAGTATTTTATATTACAGTTAAATATTTAATTTAATAGATTAATTGTAAAATATAATTAATTAATTCATGGAAAAAACTGAGTTTTGTAAATTTAAATTTTGGGATCTGATTTTTGATTTCGTGAAAGATAATCCTTAACCTATGAATTTTTCCCGCCCTAACATTACCAAACCCTGATGGCTAAATACCTATAAAACTATTGTAAAAGGAAAAAAAACACACACACACACTGATTTTCACTAAATTTATCAGTCAATTGTTTATCCAACAAAACAATATAATATTTAAATGAAAAACATTTCCATGAGAAGATATTTAAAAGAGTCGATTTATTTGTATTGATCAAATAAGGGGTAGTTTTAACTTTTTGGTTTTTTCCTTTTGTGATCGAGTAGGTATAAGGGATACATTGTCAATTTTAATGAAAACAGAATGTATAACCATCTATCTGTACACCTTTGTCACAAAGACATAGTTACAATTTACGAGACAATTTAAGAGCGGAGTAATGCTATTTATATATCTTTGTTTACATAATGGTGTGCAGATAGATGATATGAGGAAAAAAAGAAAAGAAACTCTATTATTAAAATCTCTCTCTCTTCTATCTTATCTATCTGTACGCAATAAGAGTTGATTCCATTTAAAATACTTGCAACAATTGAAATATGCTATTGGAGACCACGTCATTTTAACATGAAGGATCAAGAGGAAGAAGAAAATTCATAAAAAAGCATGGATAACAAGATGAGAAAAATACAGTTAAATTTACCAATAATGTACGAAACATAAAGTAACAGTTAAAAAAATTATTGCGTGTACTCTATCCAAGAAATCCAAATGGCATTAATGTCAAACTCGAACGCATCCAAGAAATTATTGCGTGTACTCTATCCAATAATTTGTTATCATTAATTCCCAACTCTAGCATTGTTCTAATGTTACAAAAAAGCTTACTGTACAGTCAAAATTGTACAGTAATTTTGATAGTCCTTTCCCATGGGTGCGGTCCACGATACCCCCATCAAATGTATGTGAGAGGACTATCAAAATTAATGTAACTCTAGCATTGTTCATAATGTTAGGAGATAATTGTAATCTAGAAACATTTTGTGTTGTTTATTAATAAATAAATATTGATTTATTTTGAGTTAATTTTTTATTGCATGTTAAGGTAAAACAGTTATAGATCCAATCGCTTTGTAATAATATTAGTTATGACATGCTAAAATAGTATATGAGATGTAACTTATATTTCGATTTATAATTTGTCCCACATTGACTTATAGATTTGGCACTCTATTTGGATAATGGATATCACTCTTAACAATTGGAATAGGCATTTCATCTTGATCGTGGAGACTATACGCTCAGTAGTAATAACACTAATAAACATGTATGTGTATTGAATCGGACCAAATAAAGTGTTGATTAGTTTATAGCGGACCGTGCTAAAGAAATTAATCGTATGTTATCGTCTAATGGATTACATAATTTGTAATTGGATAGTGGTTGATATTCGTGGGCTCAAGATTCTTTGATATGTCAATGAGTAAAGTCATTCAGTGATGATCAATATCCTGATATGTTGGGAATTAATTATAACTGAAGTATTGAGGACGCTTTCGAGTTTGAAATCCGTGATTATGTTTAAATAAAGTCAACTTGAGTATTTTCTTCGAAGAATAGTTGAAACTCGAGCTCAGTATTTGGGGTCATCCAAATTATTAATTATATGATTATATCACAAAGAAACCGATTAAGATTGTGAGCCATAGGTGAGAAAATAACTACATAACGGTTATTTCGCCTTGATCTAATTATTTGACGTCCGAATAGATTTTTATGTAGTGGTAATTACACAAATTCCTACTTTAAGTATTCAACATTCTAAAATCATGTAGGAATTTTAACCTTTCAAAAATCAGATGTTTTAATTAATATATTATTATTAAATTCAATTAATTTATGTAGTGCCTAGTTGGTGTTGTTGGCGATGGTGCCGATCTTGTTATGGGTGGTTGGTGACAGATCTGGCGTCAACAACGCCTGCTCACCTTCTCTCCTCCTCGTTGCCGATCTTCGTCGTCATAGTGGTGTTTGTCGTTCACCTCTGTGATGATGTCATTCATCTCTCTCCTCTCCTCGTCGTCATCAAGCACTAGCACAGCAGTACCGATCGCTCCTCTCTTCTCCTTTCCTCGTTGCTAATCCTCGTCATCATAGAGGCAAACGTCGTCGTGATGTCGCCATGGTGATTTGTGTCTGACAAAAGAAAGGATGAAATATGTGATGGTGCGGTGTAGGTAACAGAAGAAAGGATTTGCTACGGCGATGCCGTGGGTGATTTGTGTGTGTGGGACAGGATAAATGATGAAACATGTGATGGTGCGGTGTTGATCTGTGAGAACGGTGGTGTGTGGTGGTGATCCGTGTTTGGGTGTGGTGTAAATGGATATTCAGGAGATGATGTGCTGTGGGTGGGAAGAAATATGTGATGGTGCGATGATGGTGGATTTGTGGTTTTAATAGTGTTTGGGTGGTGGTATGGTGGTGATGTGGTTGTGGGTAGGTGGTGGTGGTGGTGATGATGATGATGTTAGCTACAATATTTGAGACGATGGTTTGCTGCCGAGAGGTGGAAGTGGTTCTGGTGACGGTGGCTTTAGCTACTATGTTGTCGGTGACAGTGGTGAGGTGGTGATCACAGAAATCGGTGGTGGTCACGAGGGTGGTCACAGAATTCGGTGATGGTGACCTTAAAATTGTGATTAAAAATTAATCTGCAATGGGGGTGGTCACAGAAATTTGTAGTGGTCACGGGGGTGGTCACAAAAAAAATCTAACTGTGACTTTAAAATTGTGACTAAAAATTATGACCAATAAATTTGAAAATATGTGACTGATAGATAACTGTGACCGTAATTTTTTGATCCGTAACCAATAAAATAATATGTGACCTGATTTGTGATCTCGAAATAATCTGTGACCTACAAATTTTTTGATCTGTGATCAATAAAAAAAACGTGACCTATAATTTTTTTGATTTGTGACCTCAAAAATAATCTGTGACCAATTAATTATGTATATGTGACCATTAATTGTATAATTGTAACACCATTATATTTAATTAATAAAATAAATAATTGTTAGAATCGAAAAAGTT